GGCAGAGGGTGGGAGCTTGAGCCCCCCTCACAGCAGCTCTGTGCGTCCCCCTGCCCTCCTGGCACGCGGGGCTGCTGCCTGCTCTTCCACCCACCTGGCTTTGCCCCTTCATCCCTGTGCTGAACAGGGGTGCAGGGGGTGGCTTCCCCCTCCCTATATATATATATTTTTTCCTTTCTTTCCCCTCCCCTCCTTTTTTTTTTCCTCCCCCTTCCCACTTGTTTTTTTTCCTCCCCTCCCCTCTTCCACCCCTGTTCTTCCCCCCTCTTAATCTTGAAAAGCTGTGACAGATGGGACGTTATTCCCATTCATCCCTATTGTTAATACACCCCAGCTCACGGGATGGATCAATCACGTGCCGGCCTCTGGACAGGTCGCTCGTCCCGCGGAAGAGGACAGGGCTTTACCGTGAACGGATTTTAATTCCTTAAGAGCGTCACGGCAAAGCCCCCGGGTTGGGGGGGAACTGGAGCAGATGCACCCGTGACGCTCTTGGCAACTGGTTGAAACTGGGGCAGCTCTTTAATGCTTATCCAACCCGCCGCTGACGGAGCCGTTGAGATCCACTGATGGATTGGGTTGGGCAAGAGCAAAATGTGCTGGGGATGATGCTGATAGGCTGAAAAAAAAATTAATTATCAAGAGAGGCAAACCCAAAAAATGATTTCTTCCCTGCCCGGTGAGGGGACCGTGCCCAGCTCCAGCTCTGAGATGCTGGGTCTGAAAAATGCATGTGGGGCTGAATTTGGGGCTTACCTGGTGGCTAGCATCGTTTTTTGTGGGTGTTTTCTTGCCTGGGACAAGTATTTTGTAAAGCAGGCGGGGCTGCTGAGGAGGTGGTTGGTTCCCAGCACGTTTTCCCTGTGTTTTTTTCCCCAGTTCTCTTGAGAACTGATTTTTATTGAACGTGGGACCTGCTGGACAGCGTTTTCTCTGCCCTCAGTACCCATCTGAGGTGGAAGGTGATAAAATCCCTTTATAGCTTTGTTACAGTAAGGTAATAGGGAAAAAATCTTCGTATTTTAGGGCAAAGGGTGGTGAAGCCATCCCTTACATCCCTGTGTAAGGCTTGTGTTTAAGGCAGCTCAGTGGAATCGAGTTTCTGGGTCCCGAGTGCTTGTAGGGCAGGGAGAGGGGTGAGGCCCCTCTGGAGCGAGAGCTGCGGTGGGGATGGTGGGTCCACGGAGCTGTGGCCGATGGACAGGGAAGGGGTGGCCGGACACGGGGAGGGCTCGTGGAGGTTGGGCAGGGGGTCTGGTGACTTGGTTTTATTATCAGCTTCGTTATTCTTCCTCAGCATCCCTGGGTTTGAGGGGTGGCTGTGATCCGTTACTTCCCTGGGAGGGGTAGCCATGAAAGCCGTGTGAGTGCTGCTGCTTACCTGGGTGGCTGGAATGGAGGGAGATGTGCCAAAAAAACCCCCAATCCACATGATTCTGGGGAATAAACTGCAGGTTTTAAGGTGTCTTCTGTTTTGTTGCTTAATTTCACAAGTATGGTACCCGAAACCCAGCTCTGGGATGGAGGAGATGTTTCCTCCTCGAGATGGAATAGCTGCTAGCAAGCAGGACTGGTTTTGGTTGAATTTAGAAAGGCAAAAAAGCAGGTGAAGCTGTAAAATTTGGTTTCTTTAGCACTTGAGGCTGATGCTCGGTTGCCAGCCGGTATTTCATCCTGGGCTGGGCACCGAGGTGGCTGGTGGGAGCGTGCGGGAAGGAAGAGAGGGAGGGTGATGCAGAGGGATACAGCTCCCGTGGTTCTCCGAGGGAGCTCGCTGCGCCAGGGCTAGTGGCACCACATAATTCAGTATTTTTCCACAAACTCCATGCCCGTAGTTCCTGGTTCTTAGGATTTATTATTATTTTTTTTAAAATTCCTACCAGCCTGCTGTAGAACAGGTTGGGTGAAACGCGGCTGCTGCCTTCGTCACGAGATCCTGCGCCGGGGGTTGCGTGCCTGCGCCAAAATCACTCCCCTGTCTCCCAGGTTTTGGGAGGAGCGAGGAAAATGAAAATAAAAGGGTTTGCTGCCCCAAAGCCCTCCCAGGAGTGGTGGTGGAGGAGAAGGTTGACCTTCAGCTCTGCCGCCCCGGCCTGTGGGGGCCCCACGCAGTCCCTGCACCAGCCCTGGGAGTGAAACATCCTCCACGGCCCCAGATAATACATCCATCCATTCCTCCGTCAGCGATGGCCGCGCGTGGTCCAGCACCGCTTCAGCTGGGCGGGGAATTCTGAGAGCTGTAAGAAAATACCCCCACTAGGAATAATAACCTCATGTGAAAGGCTGAGGATAAGGAGCGGCTGGGAGATGCTGTCGGGGTGAAGCCTTGAGCACTGTTTGGCTGCCTTGAGGTGCTCTGCGTCAGCTGAGTCGGATGTTGGAAGTGGGAATATGCCATAGTGTCCCACTGAGAAGTGAGGTTACATGGCACTTTGCTGTGGTCCTTCTCTTCGGGGGTTTGGGGAGGTGGGTGGGCGGCACGGAGCGGTGATGGAGGGCCTTGGGGGCTGGGGATGCCCTGGCATCTCCCGTGGCAGAGGTATGGGGAGACGATGCCCTGGTGCAAGTCAGTTTAAGGCAGAGGCTTTTCCAGAGGCGCTCCCAGCACTGTGGTGAGGGGACAATGACTGGCTGGTGTGCTGGTTTCACTTGGATGAGCTGGATGAGCTTGGGGTCCCCTGAGCTGCTGCGCTCTGGTGATGGGGCAGTTCGAGCCAAAATGAGGGTGGCTTCTCCATGGTCCAGCCTGTAGCATCCATGGGCACAGACTGTTCCCAGCCCGGGGAAGGAGGATGGTTGTAGAGATGCTTTGGCTTGCAGCTGAGTGGTGGCATTTTGGGATAAGGCAGGTGAAGGTGCCACTAGTTCTGTTTTGGGGCCAGGAGGTGGTAGAAGTAACTGGGCAGCATGTCCAGCACTCTGGCAGCGGGGAGGGGCCAGTCCTGGGCTTCAGTTGGGCTTTCAGAGCTGAGGAGGGCTTTTCCCTGGAAAGCTTTCAGAGAGACGGTGGTTTGAGCCTCGCTGGCACTTGGGCTGGGCTTTGCTGGAGCAAGCTGGCCTCACTGCATGTCACCGCTCGGCTCGGAAGCAGGATGCATCGCTGGGAGCAGGTGGGACTGATACCTCTGGGACCTGAGCTACAGCACCTCCTGGGACTCCACCTTAAAATAGCCCCTCTGGGAGGTGTTCCTGAGTTTTAAAAGTGAAACGTGTCCTGTGAGCCCTTCACAGTGTTTGTGCCGGGAGTGGATGAGGTTCTGATCGCCCTGCGCCATTAAACCGGGAGCAGGTGGAATGTGCTGCCACTGCAGAGGCAGAAGGATCGTGTCTGGATCACGCCAGCCTCCAGCACTGCGGGGCACGGTCCTCCCCATCCCCAGCTGCTTTGTGTCTGCATGGGCCAGCCTTTCCTCCGGTTCTCGCTCTGCCCCACAATTCCTCCCTGTCCCCGGCGTCTGGCCCCAAGCTACCTTAGCAGCTCTTGATCTGCCCAAATTGTTGGCAGGGCACAGAGGTTCAGGGTCTGCGAGTGCCACAAGCAGCGAGTGCATGGACCGGCCTCGCTGCTGGAAGGTCTCGTTTTCCAGCTGTTGAAGACCACTGGTGGGATCAGGGCGTTGGGTGCTAATGGTTTGCAGGTGAGCAGAGCTTCTCCCGCAGGATTTGGCCCAGAGCCCCTGAGCGTTGCCCACTGTCTGCTGGGGTGCTGGTGGCTGCTTGCATGTTGCGTGCGTGGTACTAGTCCTTCCAAGCATCCTCCGTGAGCTCGTCCCAAGGAAGGCCAAAGCTTTGCAAAACCAGCTTCCAGCTGGCAGTTGGCTCGCAAAACCTGTCCGTGTGCGCACGGTTTCTTGGTTGGAAAACCCGTCCCTGACGTTGGGAGAGGTGTTCCTGCTCTGCTCTGGTCAGAGCATTGGGGCTGGACCGTGTGAGAACACAGGATGCTGCTTTGGTCGGAGCTGATTGACTTCCAGCAGGATTACGAATGCTGGTCTGGGTGAACAGTGGGTGAGTTCATGGCTTGGCTGGATCATCCGTGGACTCCTGTGTCTCAGAACTCCCCGCTGCCCAAGCACGTCGTGCAGTCAGGCTGCCGAGGTGTTTGTGTTTGGTGCTCATGACCTCTTGGGAAGCTTTTGCAATGCTCCCCGTGCATCCGTGCCCCAGGGCTGCCCCGCGGCGAGGCTGAGAGTGCCACCAGGCAAGGTTGGGTGGGTTGCCCATCTCCGAGGGCAGGTCTCTGAGGATACGTACTTAGGTTTTCCCACGGAAAGCATCCCCACGTTGCTGGGAAGTGGTGACATCAGGACGATGCACCTTCGGAGAGCCCCCCGCAAGGGATAGCAGGGCTGGCCGTGGTGGGTCTCGGGGTCCTGTCTCCCTGCAGCCGGCCAGCCCGGGGCAGTGCGGTCAGGGGTGTGCGTGTGTACATCCCTGCCATGCCTGTGCGGCCCTGACTCTGTGGAGGCTCATTTCAGGAGGTTTCCTTGGAAACCCGGCAGCCAGCACGAGGAGGGAGCGTTCCTGAGACAGCTTTGGCCCCAGCGGGAGATGGCTGGGGGCAAGGCTGGGTGGAATGGCTTTCCCCGGGGCTGAGCTGCTCCGGCTTGGCGCAGGGAAGTGGGATGCTTCGGCAGGCGCTCGCCAGCTGCCGTCTTGATTCCCGGAAAGCCTTTGACCTCCTGCTGTGGGGTGCCTGCAGACCCTAACCCGAGGCTTTGTCTTTGCAGGAGCAGGAAGATCCAGATCCGAAACATCCCCCCACACCTGCAGTGGGAGGTAAGGAGCGGATGATCCTAAAAGCATCCTAAAATTCATCTCCTCCTCCGTCAGTTGTGCTGAGCAGCACAAGCTGCACTGCTGGAGTGTGTGGTCTGGACATGGGTCACCCTTTTACCTTCCCAGAAACCTCAGGAGGGAGGTGGAGAGTGAACTGGACTCCATCTCCTGCCTGTTTGTGGGTCCCAGAGTCGTGGGGCAGCTTTGAGAAAATGGGATGCAGGTGGGCGAAGGCATTTAAGCGGTTGGGTGATGCTGGCTCTTTGGAGGGTGTCTGTGGGGGAAGCTGGCTCTGCCCCTGCCTGCTCCCTGCCTGCCCGGCAGCCTCTCCTGCCCACCTCACCTGCCCTGTTTGCTGCTCCCTCCCCAGGTGCTGGATGGCCTGTTAGCTCAGTACGGGACGGTGGAGAATGTAGAGCAAGGTAAGATGGTCCAGCATGGTCCTCATCTGTGCTGAAGTCCCAGCGCCGCTCCCCAGCTCTCTGCACACTGGAGAAAACCCAGTGGGGTGAAACCTGGTTTTCCCAGTTGTGGGTACTGAGCTAAAACAATTTTCCCCATCCAGTGGTGAGATGGCATGGGCCATCCATCCCCAGGGCTTCTCCTGGTTGCTGGCAAATGAAAATCTGCGTGTCCCCACAAGTGAAAACGAGCTGGGTGTTGTTTGGGGTCTGCTGGTGGGTCGGTGATGTCCAGCCATCCAACCTCTGTGGCAAGGGTGGCAGGATCTTAAGGAAGCTAGGAGGGGACTTTTTACCAGGGCCTGTAGTGACAGGACAAGGGGTAACGGGTTTAAATTGAAAGTGGGGAGGTTTAGATTAGATATCAGGAAGAAGTTCTTCCTGGAGAGGGTGGGGAGGCACTGGAACAGGTTGCCCAGAGAAGCTGTGGATGCCCCATCCCTGGAAGTGTCCAAGGCCAGGCTGGATGAGGCTTGGAGCAACCTGGTCTAGTGGAAGGTGTCCCTGCCCATGGCAGGGGGATGGAAATACATGATCTTTAAGATCCCTTCCAACCCAAACCTTTCTGTGATTCTGTGATCTGGCCTTGCACCCTCTGGTCCTGTGCCAGCCTGGCCCCGTCCTTGTGCCGGGTGCAGATACAGTGATGCACAAGCAGGCACCTTGCGCGGTGGCTGGGGCCATCCCCCACGGGACAGGCATCACCCTCCCACCATCCCCCCCTGCATCCTCCCTTCAGGGAGGACGTCTCTCTCCTCCCCTGCTCTGACGCTCCTTCTCTTGCTTTTCCCCTAGTCAACACAGACACAGAAACAGCCGTTGTCAACGTAACGTATACGACTAAGGAAGAAGCAAAAGTGTAAGTGCGTTTTGTTTCATTCTGTCCATGTTTTCACACCACCTGAACTTTTCCCAAGGAGTCTCAGGTAACTTCCAGGCTTCTTGTCTTGTTGGGTTGTTTCTAAGCTCCTACAGAGTAAGCTTCAGGTGCCCCGAGGGCTGTCTGGGTGTCTTCTGAAGGCAGAGCAGGCAGGTGTTGGTTTTATCTCGAGCTGTGGCCTCTCACGTGTCTTCTCTTCCCCCCAGCACTGGCGAGTCTCCTGCCCTCGCCCCTAGCCTGGGAAGTGGGGTTTCAGGGCCATCAGCCCTGCAGTTGTCCCCTCTTGCTCTGTGCCTTCTCCTCTTGTCCCCAAGGGGCTCCCAGATGTGCCACCTCGCAGTTGGGACACTGTCCCCCCTACAGGGTCCTGTGCAGGGTCACAATGGCCTTGTCTTCGGGGAGAAAGCTGAGGGTCAGGTCAGATAAGCAGTGTGTCCAGGAGTCATCTTCCCAGCTTGGAATTCCAGACCTAAACTGGGAGTGGAGCAGATTAATCACCCAGCCTGAGCTGCTGGAGAGATGGGATACGGTGAAGGAGGTGGGAGAGGCAGGCGGTGAAGAAGCTGGAAAGGGAGTTGGGGTTCCCAGTGGAGAGGTACCACATGCTGCATCCTTCTCCTTGGAGCAGCACTCTCACAGCCCCTCTTCCACTTTTTCTATGCGTGAAAAGCCCGTGAGAGCATTCCCACACCCTGTGATAGCTTCTGGCCAGCACGTTGCCAGGGGGAGCAGCAGATCCTGAGGCTGGCATCCCACCTCTGCTGGGAGGGACAAGCCATGTGCCACCCACATGGGAGGGGACATTGTCCCACCACGCTATGGGGGGGGACACATCGTCCCACCACACTACGGGGCTTGCTCTGCGTGGGGAAAGTGAGGGGCTCTGGCTTCCCGTGGCCACCTTCTCCAGGCTGGGGTGGGAGGAAGATGCAAGGCTGGGGAAGGACCACGGGCTACACAGGCAGGTGGCAGGGGTGCTCTCCCCAGAAAGCCCCTCACCACCCCAGCCTCTCCCTACCTTGCAGAGCAATTGAGAAGCTGAGCGGCCACCAGTTTGAGAACTATTCCTTCAAGATTTCCTACATCCCGGATGAAGAGGTGAGCTCCCCTCCACCCCCCCAGCGATCCCGCCGTGGGGGCCACTCTTCCAGGGAGCGGGGCTCGTCCCCGGGGGTCTCCTCGCAGCCCAAACAGCTCGATTTCCCACTGCGGATGCTGGTGCCCACGCAGTTTGTTGGTGCAATCATAGGAAAGGAGGGCTTGACCATAAAGAACCTTACTAAGCAAACCCAGTCCAAGTAAGTACCTTGAACGGTTTTGTTTCCTTCCGTAGGGTGCTGTAGGTCCCCGGCACGGGTCCTCCACGCACTCGTGACTGCCGAGTGCAGGCCAGCGCTGTTTTCTTGGGGTGCAGCCTTCGTGGGATGGTGGCAGGGCCCATGTCCTAAACTGTTCCTGCTGGCTGGGGGGGTCTGGGTGTGGTGAGAGGGGGATGCACGCCGAAAACGGCCAGGAATGGGCTTTTAAAGCCTCATCACGAGAATGGCTGGGGAGAGGCTTGAGGGAAAAATGGCAAGTTTGGGGATAAGGGGTGCTGAAGGGGGATCGTAAGTACAGCAGCCGGTGCCCGTGTGGGCTTTGCCTTTGGGATTTGCTCATCCCGCAGTGCCCCGTATGGGCTGGAGCTGTGGTAGGGGGAGAGGGGGCACCGTGGGAACGCTGCCTTGAGAAGGATGGGCTTTTCCTAAGTGTTTGAAGCCTTTGTTTTGCAATCTAACATCTCTATTTTTGAAGAAAAAAAGACGGGGAGGGGGGCTGCCTTGCCAGTTTTCCGTGTTTCTCTTGTCAATGTTGGCATTGATTTCACCTCTGATTTTCTGCATGGTTTTCCTGCATGGTTTGTTCCTGCCCAGATTTGTTTGTGTTTAACCCAAAGCTGTCTTCTCCCATGCTCATCGTCCCGAACCCGGTGGTCCCACAGGACGTAGGACTCCCATACCAGAACATCCTAGTTCTCAGAGAAGCTTGTAGAGGCAAATTATTTGGGAATAGCGCATCCGCTTGAGCAGGAGGTAGCAAGACGCGCCGCTCTGCAGCCGAGCGAGCCGAGCCCCAGCGCTGGGTTTGCAGGAAGAGGTTTGTACGGAAAGTGGGCAGACACGTAGGGAGAGGAGCTCTTTGAGCCCGGCTTGCCCTAGAGCGTGGCCACCTAGTACTGTGAGTCGGTCTGGGGTGGCCGCAAGCTCTTCTCCAGGTGAGTGCCCTGGTGTGATGAGCAGCGGGTGTAGCCTTGTCCTTGCCACTCGAGACTGGGTGGTTGCCCTTTCCAAGCCCTGTGCCTGGCGAGGAAGGAGGGAGGCGACTGTGAGGCCACAGGCTGCTGCCCAGGGCAGTTTCTGCTGCTGAGCCATCCCACCCTGTGGGTTGGTTCCCTGTGCGTGACCCAGAAACCTGGTGCCATGGAGGAAGGCCGTGCTCCATGCTCTCGCCTCTCCTCACCTGCCTGCAGAGGCCACGTGTCAGGGTGGACCACCACCTCCAGCCTTGGGCAAGGGGGACCTCACGCACCCGGCCCAGGCAGTTGCAGGAGACTGTTACCTTCAGTCTGGGGCGTCAGCCCGCAGCTCTGTGCCTGCTCAGCTCACCCTCACCCACCGCTGCGCTGATCCTGGGCGCATCCTGCTGCCTGGCCTCTGCTCCTGCCTGGAACGATGTTGAGTCCTGGATTCCTGTGGTCACACAGGACTTCACCCCTGTCTCCAATACGTGCTGTTGAGCTCCAGGGCACAAAACTGGCCCCGGGGTGAGCCATCTTCCGTGGTGGAGAAGGAGCCTGGACCAAGAGCCCACCCCACCAGAGGACCTCGCGCAGTGGTTGCAGCCCCCGCAGTTTGACAGCGAGAGAGGACAGTCCCTACCGAGCAGCCGTGGGGCAGGATAACCCTATGTGCACACTGCAGCATCAACGTGGAGCGGGACTGTCCCTCATGGCCAGCACTCCTTGAAGCTTTCCCAGCCCTCTAAGGTGCCTGGGGTCCCAGGCAGCTGCAGGTGCGATGAGGGGATTGAGGGTCCTGCGTTCTCCTGTTGGACTGGAGCTATGCAGCAGCAGCAGCACTGGGACATGCTGGGAAGTTCAGAGCCCTCCTCCAGCTCTTCAGAGTGGGACATGCCCCAACGCAGTGGCCCCGTCCTGGTGCTTCATCTCTCCACAGATTGAGCTTGTGCCTGCACATCCAGGTTTGGGATGGGTTGGAGGTCAGCCAGAAAACTGGCCTGTGTCCCTCTCCGGGCCTCCCCTGGGGTACTTGTCACTTTGTTGTGTCCATTCGGCCCATCGGTGTGTCTTGGCCCTCCTTCAGTCCAAAGGCTGAGCTGTGTGCCCATCTCCACCAGCCTCCTGCCCGACTCCTCTCAGGGGTTTGTTGGACGACTCGTTGGTTCCCCCTGGTTGGGAGCATCAACCCCGCTAGTGGTCAGCAACCGAGCATGGGCCCACCGTCGCCTTTGGGGGCACATTGCGATGGATTTGCCCTCTCCCTGGCAGAGGGGGTGCCCCCGTGCGCAGCTGCCTCTGAAGGAGCAGACCTTCCGTGTCAGCCTGATGGAGCCTCAGACACCTCAGAGGGTGTCACACAGCACACAGCTGGGTCGCTGCGTGCCGTAGACATGGCCACGGGGCCGGGGGAGCTCAGC